CAGCGGGAAAACTGCCGCGCGGCTCTGGCCTGCACCTTGCCCACCCAGCCAGCAGCTCCTCTTGCATCTGCTTATTTATTGCCCAGAAGTCATCCAGCATGTCGAAGGGGCGATTATCGGCAATTTGTCAGCCTGAATTTGTTGCTGGCAATCACTTTTTGGTGAAGTTTCCCTCTCAGGCACTTGAGTTTTGGGATTAGAAAACGGGATGGCAGAGCATTGTCCTGTGGCCTGCTTTTCATTTAGACACAACCAGGCAGACAGAAGGAAACGGAGCATTCATCTGACTGCAGTCACCCCAAAACACTGGCCACTTGCATCCAGAAACTGGTTCCTCCTACAAACTCTCCGTTCTCCCTGGGGCCCTTCACAGGCCTTGTCTAGACTGTGGCTTCGCTTTCCCTGGTGAGTGACTGTGTGTAAGAAGTAGGGGGCCTCCACATTCTGCCCGATCCCCGCCATTCTTCACCAAACGTTAATGTCTTGGGCCTGCAATTTACTTGGGCAACCTGGGACTGAGACTCTGAAGTTGCAAGTGTTTTGTTTTGTTTGCTTTTAGGTTTTTGTTTGTTTGTTTTGTTTTGTTTTGAGAGAGTCTCGCTCTGTTGTCCAGGCTGGAGTGCAGTGGCACGATCTCGGCTCACTGCAACCTCCGCCTCCCAGGTTCAAGCAATTCTCTACCTCAGCCTCCCGAGTAGCTGGGATTACAGGTGTGTGTCACCAACGCCCCACTAACATTTATGTTTTTTTAGTAGTGATGGGGTTTCACCTTCTTGGCCAGGCTGATCTTGAACTCCTGACCTCATGATCCAAAATGCTGGGATTACAGGCGTGAGCTGCCGCTCCCAGCCTGCTTTTAGTCTTCTGTTTGCGGATGTGGGTCCTGAATCAGTGCCCCCCAAGGTGAAACCTTTTCCCTTTTGCCCCTCCTCTTCCCTTCCTCTCTTTGTGGGTGGGGGAAGATGGTGGTCAAAGAGCAGGCCTGTCCCTCAGATGGGGCAGCTGGGGCGAGTGCTTCAGAGTGGCTGCTATACCTCACTCTTTTTTTTTTTTTTTTTTTGAGACGGAGTTTCGCTCTCGTTACCCAGGCTGGAGTGCAATGGCGCGATCTCGGCTCACCGCAGCCTCTGCCTCCTGGGTTCAGGCAATTCTCCTGCCTCAGCCTCCTGAGTAGCTGGGATTATAGGCACGCACCACCATGCTCAGCTAATTTTTGTATTTTTAGTTGAGACGGGGTTTCACCTTGTTGACCAGGATGGTCTGGATCTCTTGACCTCGTGATCCACACACCTCGGCCTCCCAAAGTGCTGGGATTACAGGGTGAGCCACCGCGCCCGGCCTATACCTCATTCTTATCTTCTGACAATCGCTAAAATTCAGTTTCAGAGATTCTGTCTTTAGCCTAAGAAGGATGCCAAAAGGGTGGGCCTCCTTTCCGGTGGCAGCGGCTTGGTAGCGAGTAGGCCCTGGTCAGGTTGCCCCAGACTATGCCCTTCTCACAGTAGTCCTGTGGTGGGGGGGGTCTAGAATGGACCCTGCAGGAACAGCTCTGGAAAAGCTGTAAGGCGGGCAAAGCAGTGGGCAGGGCTAGCAGCTCTGGATCAGCGTGGCTCCTGACGCACAGCCTTCCTAGTCCTGGCTGGAGCCCAAATACAAACCCAGGGGAAAGTTCTCATGCTTCAATCCCATAATTCCCCACTTGCTTTTTTTTTTTTTTTTTTGAGATGGAGTCTCTGTCACCCAGGCTGGAGTGCAATGGTGTGATCTCGGCTCACCGCAGCCTCCACCTCCTGGGTTCAAGCGATTCTCCTGCCTCAGCCTCCCGAGTAGCTGGGACTCCAGGCGTTGGCCACCATGCTCAGCTAATTTTTGTATTTTTAGTAGAGATGGGGTTTCACCATGTTGGCCAGGATGGTCTTGATCTCCTGACCTCATGATCTGCCCACCTCAGCTTCCCAAAATGTTGGGATTACAAGCGTTATCCACTGCACTGCCAAGCAATTCCTCACTTTCTTTTTTCTGCTCAGCTCTCCAACTTATCAACCTTGATTCTAAGAAGAAAAATAGGTTCAGTGTAGTGGCTCATGCCTGTAATCCCATAAATTTGGGAGGGAGAGGTGGGTGGATCACTTAAGGTCAGGAGTTCGAAACCAGCTGACCAACATGGTGAAACCCTCTCTACTAAAAATACAAAAATCAGCCAGGCGTGGTGGCATGTGCCTGTAATCCCAGATACTCAGGAGGCCAAGGCAGGAGAATCGCTTGAACCCGGGAGATGGAGGTTATAGTGAGCCAAGATTGTGCCACTGCACTCCAGTCTGAGCGACAGAGTGAGACTCTGTCTAAATAAAAAGAAAAACATTTGTATACCTGAAAGTTCCCTTCTACCAGGAAGCTTCCCTTAACACCTCTTTTTCATTTGGTTGGAGAAGTCTTCTACTGATCCAAGGCAAGACCACTAAAATGTTTTGAGAAATGGAAAAGTACACGCAAACGTACAGCCTAGGTAGCTGAGCCTCATCCGCACGTTTTGACTGAGAGTTGCCAAGCAAATGCTCTTCAGACCCACCCTTAGAGGAGTTCCTTATTCCCTGCTCCCAAAATTTAACATGTGATTAGTACCAAAATATGCCTCCCTTAACTAATACCTTCTTTTTTTTTTTTTTTTTTTTTTTGAAATGGAATTTCGCTCTTGTTACCCAGACTGGAGTGCAATGGCACGATCTCGGCTCACCGCAACGTCCGCCTCCTGGGTTCAAGCAATTCTCCTGCCTCAGCCTCCCTAGTAGCTGGGACTACAGGCGTGCGCCACCATGCCCCGCTAATTTTTGTATTTTTAGTAGATTTGGGGTTTCACCATGTTGACCAGGATGGTCTCGATCTTTTGACCTCGTGATCCACCCTCCTCAGCCTCCCAAAGTGCTGGGATTACAGGCGTGAGCCACCACGCCTGGCCAACTAATACCCTCTTGAACCTATGGAAAGGAAACGGCATTTCTTTGAAATTCCCAGTGGGAGTTAAGGACCACCTGACTGCCCTTGCCTTCATCTGCTAATCACATGTAACTATCTTTCTGAACACCCACCTCCTCCCCTAGAGAGTCACTGATTGGCCCATGGCATACTTAATACTTTTCCTTCTCTTCTCAGATTCTCATCCCTTGCCCTTCTCTCCCTTGCCCCCCACCCCCAGCAAATTTTTAGAATTAAATCATGATCTTTCTCCAAATGCCATGACAAGTTAGAAAGGGAACTTCGAGACAGCACTAGAAATGCACTGATAAGAGAGTACTATTACAAGGCGGGGTTCAGTGGCTCAGGCATGTAATCCCAGCACTTTGGGAGACCGAGGTGGGGGGATCACTTGACGACAAGAGTTCGAGATCAGCCTGGCCAACATGGAGAAGCCCTGTCTCTACTACAAATACAAAAATTAGCTGGGCATGGTGGCATGCACCTTTAATCCTAGCTACTTGGGAAGCTGAGGCCGAAGAATCACTTGAATCCAGCAGGCAGAGGCTGCCGTGAGCCAAGATCAGGCCACTGCACTCCAGCCTGGGCAACAGAGCGAGACTCTGACTCAAGAAAATAAATAAATAAATAAAAAGTACTATTACAGCTGAATGCAGTAGACAAACAGCAATTTGGAGTATCAGCAATTCATTGCACATTTTTATACAGTCTTTTGTTTGTTGTTGTTTTACTTCATTTTTAGGATCTATTGATCCTAGCAGATACAAGTTAAACCCGAAGTAAATTAGAACAATGTTAAAGAAAAACCAGACCAAGCCCCTCCTGGACTGGTAGCCCTGCTCTCTTATGTAGCTGGTGGTTATTTGGTAGCAGAGGCAGACCTACACCAAAGCCCCACTTCCTGTTACTTAGTTACAAACCTGGCAGAAGGGCGCGACTCCATACCTCCAGAAGGAAGTCCGTGCTTAATAACCACAACAAACCAATAAAAACAATTCGCTGGAGAAATCGTCTTCACCACACGCCCGCCTTACCATGAGATGTAGGTTCCTGAGAAATGTGACAGCGTCCGATAACACAGCTTGTCTTACGGTTTGACTACGTGACTTTGTGGAATTTCTGCTTGTGGTGCCTGAAGTTGTTTCCTGGAAGTGAAACTGGAATCTTTTGCAATCATTTCATATCCCTGCCCCGGAGTTACTCTCTCTAAGACTCCGAATATGTCTACTCGTATGGACTTTTAATATTTCTACCCTAGTGAAAAGGCTCCATTTTGTAGTAGAGAACATACTAGGTTAGAAATGGCAACCAGGGCTGGGCCTGGTGGCTCACACCTGGTGGCTCCCAACACTTTGGGAGGCTGAGGTGGGCAGATCACCCGAGGTCAGAAGTTCGAGACCAGCCTGACCAACATGGAGAAACGCCGGCTCTACTAAAAATACAAAATTAGCCAGGTGTGGTGGCGCATGCCTGTAATCCCAGCTACCCGGGAGGGAGGCTGAGGCAGGAGAATCGCTTAAACCCAGGAGGTGGAGGTTGTGGTGAGATGAGATTATGCCATTGCACTCCAGCCTGGGCAACAAGAACAAAACTTCGTCTCAAAAAAACAAAGGAAGAAGAAGAAAAACATGCCAGCCAGGACCTAGGCTCTAGTTTAGGCATCTAATGAATATTTTGTACATAAGGCAGTTCATGCTTCTGGGCTTCAGATTTTGCGTATATAAAGTAAAAATATAAGACTAGATAATCTCTTAGGTTCCTCAGCCCCTGCGTTCTGTACTTTTGTAACATAGCTGCAAATTTTCAATCTAAGACAAGATCCAGATTTATGCGTTTCTGAATAAAATACCTATTTATTTCATAGTCCTTTTAGTAAAAGTTTATGCAAAGGACTGAAAAATGATTTTTGGTCTTCTGTGGGAGAGATTCTGAATTGGACCAGAGGAAACCACACTAAGAGACGTGGCATTGCCTTCTTTTATAGAAATGAACTATTGCCTTATACTTCAACTTTTTTTCCTTTTCAGATCCAACTTAGAAATCGTGTTTCATTCAAGATAAGGCTCGTGGTGTAGGAGGTTGTGACCTGGCTTGCATCATTCCAAGACTTCTATCATCTGTTTTCCAAACCCAAGGAGGACCTCGTTTTCTGTGTGATAGTTCTTCATGCTTTGCCAGCCAATGGGTCTTTAAGGAAGCTTGCCAAGAGTTCCCGGCTGGGAAGGACAGTTTGAATTCATCATAGACAATGAGCTGGCACCACAGTTTAAGTGACTCACCAACCTGGTTACCCACTTCAACATGTCAAGAACCACACTATCTAATTGAAAGAACTGTGTTTCAGCAAAGTGTAATTGGATTGCACGGCAAGATCAGCTCAAACTATGCCTCTGACCTTGCCTTTCAGTGGCTGTTTTGAGCACAAGAGGAGAAAGGAAATGGTTCCTGAATTACATTTGGTTTTTAAAAATTAAGTTTAGGCTGGGCGCGGGGGCTCACGCCTGTAATCCCAGCACTTTGGGAGGCCGAGACGGGTGGATAACGATGTCAAGAGATCGAGACCATCCTGGTCAACATGGTGAAACCTCGTCTCTACCAAAAATACAAAAATTAGCTGGGCATGGTGGTGCGTGCCTGTAATCCCAGCTACTCAGGAGGCTGAGGCAGGAGAATTGCCTGAACCCAGGAGGAGGAGGTTGCGGTGAGCCGAGATCGCGCCATTGCAATCCAGCCTGGGTAACAAGAGTGAAACTCCGTCTCAAAAAAAAAAAAAAAAAAAAAAAAATTAAGTTTAATTAATAAATACTTGGTTTTATGTTCATCCCATTGTAGGAACATAATGATTATTGCTGAACAGTCAACATAGGTCATAGTAAAATCAACATTTAAGATGAGGTTAAAACATTCCTCTGAAATTTTAGTATTCACTTTTGAAGTGTCAATTACTATATTTCTATAATTTCTCATTTTTTTCTTGGCTTAGAGTCAAGATGAAAAATGATATTTGAATTAAAGACATTGTTTTCTTATATAGCCGCTGCTTTCTAAAATGCAAATCCACCCAGTGCTTCATTATTTGCACACATGCGCACACACACACACACGCACACACACACGCGCACACACACGCGCGCACACACACACGCACAGAGCCAGCACCCAAATGGCAGAGGAGGTCCTTTCAAGACTTCTAGGACCTGGATCATGTACATAGCAGATGAGAAAATGAAGTAAGAGATAGAGAGCAATAACAATAAAAGTCAGTGATTTCAGTTTATAAAAAGTCATTGTGTAGTACTCAGATATTTTTAAAGGCAAGTATTATTATGATTAACGTATATTATACTTCTAAATTATTATGATTCTCATCTAATTTCAAGTCACACATAGGAGCCATTTTAAAGCATTTTGTATTACAACCTATCAACAAAAATCAACTAATAGAGTTTCATAATGTGCATAGGTTTACCCCATGGGGAATTAACATTTTTATCTGCAAGTATTTCTCTTGTTGTGAGACTTTAGGACAAGACAGCTTTTGGTATTAACATAGAAGAATATTCCATGGTTTTTTTTTTTTAAGCTTTAATGTTCTTTACTCTAAAATTAAGTATACACGGTATTTTTTTTTCTTCCTAGTGTTCTCTTGTTTTATGTAGAGTATTTTCAGTTGTTGTTTTTAATGTTTACATTATTTTTATTAAGTCATTTGGTAAAAGATAAAATGTATAATAATGGCCCCTTGCTTTTCTCCTAATTTAATTATTTCAAGTCAAGCAAAATTGGATACTTTTCTTTCAGGAAAAAAAAAAAAATCTTGAACATGATTTTGAGGCAAGAATGATGACTTACAGCATCTTTTCTCTGACAGACTAGCATTTATGATGGTTTCTAAGTTGATTATTCTCAGAGAAAAAGGGAGATATTAGAATTTCCAAGTAAATTGCATTGTTTTAAAAAATACTTGAATGCATTGTTCATATTGTTGCCAACTATTGACCAAGAAAGAGAAGAAGAAAAAAGAAACAAAAAAGTAGTATCTGCTCCAATTGTGAAATTTTGCAGTTTGAAAGACTTGTAAATTCTAATTTTTTTTCTTTTTTGCAAAGCAGTAGTAATTAATACCAAAGGCTTAGACAATTTAGGACCGTAACCTCCCTTCCCACCGCCCAACCTTTTTTTTTTTTAACTTTAACCATGATAGGCATCTCTGCAAGGTAGGTTTTAACATATTTTTTTCCTAATTTTTTTCCCTCCATTCAGTAAGAAGGATAAGCTTTTAGAGTACCCAGTCACCGTGGTAACTGCCAAAAAAATTCTCCTGAAGTTTGAAGAGGTCACCTCGCAGGGCCAGCAACCCTGGCCTCTGTGAGCACGGTCTGGCATGCCCCAGCCTGCGGTTGGAGTGTCAGGCCAGATCTGACCCTGGGAGGTGGACCATTCTGGCTCTGATATAAATTTTTTGAGTCAGTTCATGGCCTGGACTCTCCAGGTGGCCTCCAAAATCGATTTTGACCCCCTGACCCTGTCTCACGGAGGCATAGCATCCACCCTAAGTAAGGATTTAGCCAGGAGTGACAGCTTTCCACTGAGTGTTATTGGGGACAGTATAAACAGTTTGGAAAGCAAGTAAGAAGGTGTGAGTGCTAGAAGTCATTAAGAGCACATTAAAACCAATTTTAAAAAGTATTTATCAAAAGAAGTTTAAAATGTGTGTCTGTTACAGAATTCCTGTGATCTATAGTTTTCCAGCCAGTTTTGAATGTAAATAGGTCACATATGTTTATCTTTTTGCATACTTTATTACAAATATTTAAATAAGATAGGCATGCTACAAAAGAGGTATAGCAGGAATGTAATATGCTCAGAAGAGGCAAGCTGGTTATTAAAACACATTAACAGTCGAAGAGTTTCTAATATTTTAAATACTCAAATTTTGCATGTATGTTTTGAAATGTTTAAAATGGAAGAATAAAGAACCTTTAAAAAAGAACAGCAGCCTACAGTCTGGAATAAAGATAAATTTGTTGCACTCAAGGTTTCTACTTTGTAAAACAAGAACCCAATACACTCATTTGAATAAAAATGAGAGAAAAATAGAGAGAGTTACATCTTACAGAGCTAAAGAGGAATAAAACAACAACAAAAAAGTCTCTGAATAACTTTATGTATTTTCAACAGTTTAAGATATCAGAAATCTAGAAAATAAATACGATATTATAAATCATCAGTGATTTTCCTTCCTACACCCTCCACCCCCCACCAAGGATGCCACCCTGAATGTTTTATTTTCTCTCTTTGAGAGTTCTAGTCTGTGAACTCAGTATGTAAATGTGGCCATCAGGAAGATGAACTGTCAAGAGGAAAGATTATGTTTCTCTTTCTTAAAACTATTCACAGCATTTCTTCTTCCAGTGCTTTACTCAGAGTTCTCCCCTGTTCTCAGCTCTGTTGAAAGTGGCTTCAAAAGCAACACTGCAGGGCTGCAGGGCTAAACCAGTTGTGCTGTGAAGTTGTTGAGATGCCATTTCATCTGAACACTTCGTAAATTAGATTTTTAAGTAGGGGTGAATATCCTTTTGGGAGAGGGAACGGAGCGAGTAGAAGAAGCGAGGAAGGATGGAGCAGTTAGTGTGTATATATATACTCTGTGTTTGGAGGCCTCTGTGTCTTGGCTTCTCACTACGTTAAATCCCTATTATAAAACTTATCTTCACAAAGCCTATTATAGTATTCTGAGAACAAATTGGACCATGAATAACTTAGTTGGAAGGTGTAGATTGTTTTCTACTCAGGGGAAGTGAGAGAGGACAACAGGTTAACTGAAAGGATAGTGATTAATCTTAAATAGATGGATTTCAAAGTTCCACTCCTGTTAAAGAGTACCTTTGATATTTCCCCTCTTCAGACTCAACGTTTCCACTCTCTTTGTGTTAAGAATTGTCCTAGTGATTACACTGTCCCCCTAATATAGCTCAAACTGTAGGTCATTTTTTTCCAGGTTGTTAATCTGTCAGAGGTGACCAGAAAGATACTCTACTTCCTGTCGGTTAAATCGGTGATTCCAGAGTGGTACTAGGCTTAGATACAAAAGTCAATGATAAAAATGTCTTGCATAAATCATAGTTCGCTTCGATAAAATTCTTACTGAAACTTTTTAAGTTGCTTAATACCCTATAGTTTACAAAGCACTTTTTAATTCATAATTTTGTTTAATCCTTAGAATGGTATCATAAGATAAACAAAACTCATCAATCCCATTTTACCTGTGACTGCACACTGTGATTGAGCTAATAAAGGGAAGAACTGAGATACCAACTCAGATTTTGTAGCTTCTGTTTGAGGTGATTAACCTGTAGCAATGGCTTTTGAATTATTTTTGTGTTCTTTATCCCTGAAAACCAAGATTTTGTATTATAGAGCAAATATTTTATATCTCACAAATTAAAAATTTAAAAGACATGACTGAAAAGAATTATATTTACTTAAAAGTGAATTTTACTGGGTGTTTTTCTTCTTTCTATATATACGCTTCAATGGTCTTTGAGAACTGAAGGTTTTAATTTCCAAAAGTTAAATATGGAAAGCTCTATGTAAATTAAATAACCACCTGGAATTTAAACCATGTATATGAAAACCATAGATTCTGTATTTCAAAATAAAATTACCATAAGGCTTTAGAAGCAGGTTCTGCATGTTTAGTGATTATTTAAGAATATACCATTGACAAAACTCTTCAGTGTTAGAGGTGAGTTTTCCCTTCAATTTTAAAAAACTTTTAAAAATCTTGTAACATCTTGGCAAGTTTTGATAAAGTCATATATAACTACTCTTGGTTCCTTGGGCTTTTATTTTTTGCATTAAAAAAAAAAGGTTTGCGGCCGGGTGCTGTGGCTCACGCCTATAATCCCAGCACTTTGGGAAGCCGAGGTGGGTGGATCACGAGGTCAAGAGATCGAGACCATGTTGGTCTACATGGTGAAACCCTGTCTCTACTGAAAATACAAAAAAATTAACTGGACGTGGTGCTGCACGCCTGTAGTCCCAGCTACTTAGGAGGCTGAGGCAGGAGAATTGCCTGAACCCAGGAGGCGGAGGTTGCGGTGAGCCGAGATTGCGCCATTGCACTCCAGCCTGGGTAACAAGAGTGAAACTCCGTCTCAAAACACACACACACACACACACACACACACGCACAAAGGTTTGCAAAAAAGAAATAGTAATAAAAGGATTAGTTAACTTGACATTAATGTAACCTATCTAAACATTACAGAAATCAAGAAATACAAACAGATGACATTATTTTATTCTTCATAGGTTTTTGATTATATTGCTTTAAACATAATTCAGACAGTGTGGTTGTTAATCTGGAAATTCTTATTTTTTATTTCTTAAATTATGTAAAATTAAATTAGTCATTTTATATATACTTAATACTTTTGCCCTCGAATTATGCTGGCA